TTATACAAACAACTTTCATTAAATAACATATAGTGCCAGCTGAATAGTTGTTTTAGCACCAGCCACTTATTAGCTGATTTACAACTGATGAGATGATTTCTCAACAACTAGACTGACTACAGAGGTGATTGAAGGACTACTAATAATACCTAAGTAGTGGGGTCAATATACCCACTAGTACAATCTTATCAGTGTATCCATACCACCTAATAATTGTGCATTAGACATATTGATTCTGTAATATCTCCCCCAATTCTTCATAAATTCAGATGCTTGTTTGACTAGTAGGTAGGTAGTTCCATTATCCTGATATGTTCTGATATGAGTATAGTGTTATCCATTTAGCCTTTACTGTTATACCACTTTTCTCTGGTTTTTCAGCTTCAAATTTGATCAAATGATGACTTGATATCTAAGGAAGGAATGCACAGATAATCATCATTAAAGTTATATTTTCCCTGAATGGATGTCCATCATTGCTTTGTAAGACACTCATATTTTTTACCTATCCCATTTGCCCATATGTATAGCATATATCCTATTCCTCTAATCTCTTAATAACTCACTCAAAAGTAAGAAGTCGGCTAAACACTGTGTTCTGACCCCCTTGTCGGCAGAGGCCTCTGCTGACATGCTATATGTCAGCACAGTCTGCTGACATCCAGTCAGCATAGTGCAGACATAGATAGACATTGTTCCTTCCTATGCTGACACTGGTCACCCATGTTTACTAAGGTCAGCCAATGTCCGTTGATGTCAGCACTGATGCAGATGTCTGCTGACATGCTTTGATATGTGCTGTTGGGCTTTTCTGTCTGTGTGGGATACTAGGAGCAACTTAGAATAGTTTCTCTATGTAACTACATCCCAAATGCTGATCAACAAGCTTCTTAACATGATTCCCTTGAATGATAGAGATGATCAAGATGGAATAACTTCTCTCTTCTTATAAACCGTCAAAATCACATACTTCCTTTCAGAAGCTGATATGGTCTGTGATAGTACCGGGGTTCTGTAAGGGCAACCCTGGAGACTCCGACGAAAGCCTAGCAGGGGAGGATCCAAAGCGTGAATAGAAGCTACGGAAATACACGGAGGGACCGACCTAGCAGGGGAGGATCCAAAGAGAAGAAACTCTAAGGGTCCGCCTGCTAGGGCGCCAACTATATACTGGTCGTCCGTAACTGCCGACGTAGAGCGCAGAAGGCCTGAGCGGTGTTGCAGGCTCTGTCCCAAGGTGATCGTTGGGAGGGTCTTGACGGATCGGTGATTGTGCGGGCGAAGGAGGCCGTGGACGATGGTCGGGGTGGGTCGGAGCATCCGAGTGGGCGCCGGTCGGATGTGCCTCGGATGCGCTCGGACGGTCCGAAGGATACTTCATCTCTGAGTGAGTTATTGGGAGATTGACACTATAGAATACATGGCATATATAGAGACATATGGGATGTCTGAAAATAAATGGGTTTCTCAGAGCCATGATGGATATTCATTAGTCTATAACGCAACTTACATCATGATTATCCATGCATTCCTCACCCAGATATCAAGTCATCATTGTGCTTGATCGAATTTGCAGCAGAAAAACTGTAGAAATGTGTATATTGTAAGAGGTATAGCACTATCTTCATATCAGATTATATCAAGACAATATGATCACCTACCTACCAGTGAAACAATCATCTGAATCTAGAAAAAAAAAATGGGGAGAGATATTGCTCAATCAATAGGTCTGATGCACAATCATTAGTTGGTATCTATCTACTGATGATATTTCATTGTCAAGAATATTGATCTCACTATTCAGGTATGCTCAGTAGTACTTCAATCAGCTGTGTAACCTATCTAGTTTTTGAGATATCATTTTATTAGTTGTAGATCAGCTAGTGATTAGCTAGTCCTGGCATAATGATTCAACTGGGACAATAGGCTACTTAAAGAAAGTTGTTCATGTAATCAAAGGATACAAGTTTCATTTTGTGACCATTTGGAATAGCGCTGAACTCAGGCCAAGTGTCTCAGGTCTTTAATTATTCATTATTATTCATTCTTCATCAACTATCCTATTAGTATATAGACTTCAAGAGTATTATTTAAATTATTCATACCTTATAGGCAAATGACAAGCCTACAATGTATTGGACTTAGTCAAAAATCACTTAAGAACTTCAAAAACTTACAATTATTCATTCCTTTATCCATGGATTATTCATTTCTATGAGAACCTCACAAATTTCTGTTGCTACATAGTATTACCCCGCCGGGTCGACACTGTAAATTCACAGTCATTTTTGGGACATAACAGGTGCTTATACTACTTGAATTATTCATCATTATTCATACTGGAATGGACTTAGACAACAAACAAGTGTTGGAACTCAACATTATTCATCCTTTTCTCCACAAATTATTCATCATTATGGTAAACAAAAAAAACACCATGAACTTATCGGGTCCAATGCACTGCCATGGACCCGATAACTCACAGTGGGGATTGGGACAAATTTGTTTCTCAGACGCTTGGACACTGGCTTTCTCGTTCTTTTGGACGGAAAATCAGACATGGGGCGGCCTGACGCGTCTGCACTTGACACTTGTAAAGGCCTAAGAGCCAACTAATGCGGTGGCGGGGGCCTGTGCGCAAAGCGCCTGTCTCTGTCCACCCCGAACGTCTCGCTGGTTGCCCAAAGTGCACCTCAGTTCAGGCGGGCAGGTGTTTCCGTGTGCCTGACGGCCTGATATGTGTGCACGTGGCTTGGACCCTGCGGAACGTTGCCCTACCGTACTACAGCTAATATTTCAAGTTCCCGGATACATATCGCGACATTGCGAGGCGGAGATCCTCACTAGGTATCCGTACACAACGATAGTTGCATGTATTTCACTCGTAGCATACTGGAGGGGCGACGGTATGTAGGTACGAGACCACACTCTCTTCAGAGGGCATTGTGGGCATATATTCTTCTTCTTCTTCTTCACAGGTGGTTTTAATTTGATTTGCAAGTTTCTGTTAATGAAAATCAAACAATTGGAGTCCTGCATCAATAAAAACCTACAAGTTAAGTGTGCACAACAAGGCTCATACCACCCGCAGTCCACACATCCCTATATGTTCTTGGTGGTCATCCATCTGCATGCTGCTCGTTTGTCCCGAGACCAAGCCCTGGTGATAATACTGTTTGCTTTTTTGATTCCCCACCCTACTCCCAATTCCCAACTTCATCATCATTACTAGAACCTACTAGCAATAAACCAAGTGCCTACTGCCTACACAAGGCTCTTGCCTGTACAACTGCTTCTAACCTTCTTAGCACTCATATGTCGTGCCTGGTCATGTACATGGCCCAGCACTAGTGACCTGAGAGGGCAGGCCGGGTCTTATCTATGACATTTGGCAAGTAGTAATTAGTTGGTACCTGAATTAATTATTCGAAACCGGGTCTACTGGCTACGGAATTCAAAACTCACAGATGTTTTGAAACCGGTTTTGAAACTGTTTTAAAACCAAGATTACTCACAGCACCCTACGGCTCTCAGTATCTTACTAAGTCAGAAACTCTGAACGTAAACCGCAGGATTTCACATATTTGTTCAGACTTGTATCTGGCCTGCAAGACACATAGTCACTCACTCCTACAGAGTGTTGTGATAGCCTTTCGGACTCCCTTCACATTCTCTGCTCCTCCCCTTTGGTTCTTGCATGACACTTGACACCTATATATATAGTATAACATAAGCTCTGCCGAAAAAGCTCTAGTTTCTTTTTGCCTTGTGCAGCTTAGTCAGCGATTAGTCAGCTATCCCAATTTGGATGTGACAAGGCCAGCGGAAACCATAGACAATTTATAAGACACATATTTAAATTCTTCACATTTTATTATGATTTACAATAACATGCCAAAGCCAGGCAAATATGATCTACATACACATCGGGGATTCATGCAAAAACGGGGGTCCAAAGCTGGACTTATTTGTGGCAGATACAGGCCCAAATAACTGGGGCCGATTGTTACCTTATTTGGGTAATTCCAAGTCACGTGCACCGAAATCGGGGCCCGTGATTTAGGTAACAGGGAGACCACATAAGCCTTGTCAAGCCCGGCGGTCACCATATGATCGTGACCGCCGGCCTCCCCTTCAGTGCGGTCACCACCAGTTGGTGACTGCGCTTGTTCTCCCCATTCCCAGTCCACTTCACCCACCATTGACGCAGCCAAGCGTGCTTTGTGTTGCATTGTCCCCGCGCGCTTGGATTTGCTTGTTCAATTTTCACGCGCGCACGAACCTGCGTAGAAGTCACGTGCACGTGACTTCTACGCAAAAAAAGTTCGTTCTTCGTTGCAGCTACACCCACTTGCCCGAATGGCATTAAAAGCTACTACCTATGATATGTACTTGACTAGTAGACTATCCTGAATCATAAGCCAGGTCTGAATGCATAAGAAAGTGTGTGAATCTATTATCGTGACTCGTGTGACAAGGCGTGTCTTAGGCCTAACATCGACTTCGACGAGATGTAGTCTCTCCTGGCTGGCTTCCTCAGTCATACGACACCACAAACACTCCACCTATCGACCTCGTCTGCATTTTTACACCACAAGACTCTATATCTACTGGAATGACATCGACTCTGCGCGTGCATATTATGACTCAAAGCTTCAAAACACGCCTGCATAGAAGCACGACAGTAGAGATATGGACAGCTTTTTGGAATGTCAGGTTCTGCCCTTGGATGGGTGCTTGGTATGGTATTGTTGTGCTTTGTGCTTCGAATGCTCACCCGCTGGTAGCGCTTTGATAAGTTTGTGGCTTTGGGTTGCAATGCAATGGCATTTAATGTGGATTCAGTGCTTAGATTGTGAGTAAACCCTCATATTTTCTTTATACCACTCCCACCGATCGTCCTGGAAGGTCAGGAGCTTGGTTACCGCAATTCATCATCTTCCACTTGCCTTCCCCTCCAGAACTCGGCCTTTGCATCGTCAACCATATCATTACTCTCTATGCCTGCACCACCTCTTCGTCCCATTTCCCCTGGAGGCACACGATTCAGCAAAGAACAATATTTGGCTTCTCTGTCGGTTATGGACTTCATATTTCGTATTCTTGCTCATTGTCAACATATAGATTGGCCTGTCATCGCAAGAAGGAGCTTCATGCGGTCTGCAACGAGAGTGGCATATCATATGGTGCCAGTACAACCATTTCCTTACTGCAACAACGAATTCTCAACCATTGGTATGTGTATTGCCGATATATCATTGGGGTTCCGTTCATTTCTTGAAAGGTACCCAACACCCCACAAATCTAGCCGGAAAGGCAATGCTAATCCAATTGCCCCTACAATGCGACCAACTTCATCGTCATTTCCAGTGCATCTTCAAGACAGCTCTTCTCCCGCGATTCCACTTCTTGCCGACACTTCTCTATCTTGTCTCGCCGAGGGCCCTGTAACATCAACAGCATTAGCATCAGATCCAGGTGCAATACAAGATACTCTCGAAGATGAACGTATTCGAGACGCTATTCTTCAAAACATTGATGCAAACGCGGAGGAAAATCTCGATGATCATTTCGAGCCCACTGTCCAACGGCAATCAGAGGAGATTGGGGAGACTGAAGATCAGCTTCTCAGGGAGTTTGGAGGCGACAACTCATCCCTGGTGGAGAATATGTTATCGGTGCCAGTCGATGATGATGAAGAGCAAGACGGCGAAGATCTGGATGGCGAGACACCCGGTCTTGATCTCACAAATGACACCGACTATGCACAATTCCAAACCAATACCCGAATCAATGCAGCTGAGCGATTTGAGATGAATCGGCGAAAGGGTGGGCGGGAAGCTCAGGCTGCTGTCCAACGTGACTGGAATGTATGGACAATCTTTTTTCTATTCATTCGCATTCCCTTCTGACCATGCCTTTCTAGCGCTGGCATTCTGAAGCCCTTGCACACGGTCAAGTGCGAGACCATATCGTCGATAACCATGCACTACTGCTATATCTGAAACACACCGCCGAACGTCCTAAGCTTACGAGGAATGGGATGGTCATCCCTCATACTCGTGTGGGGGCAGTATGAAATCTCCATTACGATTGAATGCGTGGCTAAAATATCATCTAGTCGCATATCAAGAAGTGCTATTTCGGGGTCCTCCGCATTCGAAAGTTGCAAGAGGCTGCTGATCCCCAACTCAAGATAACGCGTCCGTGCGGGGGTGGCCATATTATAGATACTGTTACAACCTATATGGACGAGGCACTCAACTGTGAACGTGCAGGCGACTGTGGCTCTGAAGACGCACCAGATATTGTCGCCAACACCATGTTATCGTCCGTCTCAGGCGATGAATTAGGTCTCATTCGAATCGAGCTACTCTCTCATCGGAACTGTACGAGGGCCTGTCTATATGGAAACTCGAACTAACTCATTGTCAACCCAGTGCGACAGGCTGTTTTTGGTTTATTGGCCTGGAACTGTCAATTTCAAAGCGGCAACAGAGGCGATGACTTCCGTGCCCTCAAGCTCTGCGAGCTTCAGCCATTTATTTGGCTTCATCCAAACCGTCGCACGAATGTTTATGCGGTGCTTGGTTGCCAAGGGGAAGAGAAGGCTGGTAAACGCGGGATGAAAACGGTAAGTAGTCAACTTCGTTCATTCTGATGCTTAAAATCGTGTCAGACCAAGAATCCAGTCTATACAACTTTCATTGCCCATCGTGACCCAGTTCAATGTTCACTGGTCTCCATCGCTATCTATTTCCATTGGCTTTTCGATTATTACAAGCTATGTGATAAATTCGAGATCGACTGGACGCACAATTCATCATGGCGAAAGGTTGTTCATATTCTGATGGCTTATTCTGTTGTACTAACCGATTTTCTTTTCCTAAAGTTTCGTGTCCTGTTTGGTAATGACCCCAAAGCGGCCTATTCCGATTCCGCACTATATAATCTGTATGCGAAGGCATTCAAGGCTGTCGGCTTTGAGTCGTCGATGAAGCAACATCTTCCACGACATCTACTTTCATATCTTCAAGAGGTTCAAGGGTGCGCATCTCATGGATTTGATCAATCGCTTCTCACTAGATCTAGTGTCGAACATCAACAAACGGAAAAGTTAGGTTGGGGACGAGGGACGGTATTCGGAACAACTTACTCCGTTCAAATACCAAAGCAGGCAGTTCTTGGATGTGCGGGTTATAAAGACTTTGAGGCCTATGACCCAGTCTGGCGGCATGTACATGTTCCGCCGGAGTTTCTAACCCATCTATATCCAATGGCTGAAGAAATTATACCCCAAGTCAAGAGTCGGTCTTTTTTTCGCATTCTCGGACATCATTTTGATCTATTGACAGATAAACGAAATCTTAAGGGTGTTACCAATTTCTGGGAGATGTCGCAAACTCTCCGCACATATTTCTTCCAAGGTGCTGCCGCGATTTACCAGGTCCTCCCAAAATCTGCCATTTTCCGTCTTCCTGCGCTCGACAGACCCGAAGTCATCCATTGGATGAAGAACATCTATCCGGCGGAGCTAGCATCCCTCACAGCAAGTCTGATGTCAACGCCTGAGGATCTGGCAGTCATCGCCGATTCTGCACTAAAACGCCATCTCGAACAACAATCAACGCATCTAAATCTTGTCTCACTGCGCACCGAACAACTCGCTGGAGTAATAGAGAGTATGAGGGAGGTTATGATGCGGAGGACCAACATACTGTCGCCTTCAAAAGGCTTTCAAGCCAAGACATATGCTCGCCGCGTTCATGAGTCAGCCGCTGCAAAGCCTCTCGCACCACCAGTCTTCACTGGCGCACAGGCTCCACCAATGCCAGAAGATGTTACTCCAATGCCGCACTCGTCGCTCTCTACCGATTCAACTGAAAGCAATCACAGTGAAGTCCAGCTCGTGATGCCATCTGCAGAAGCCTTTCGTGTTCCTGGTACGTACAATGTGGTTCGAACTAATGATACTTTTACTTTTACTCATCTCATCTTGCTAGGTGAAGTCAACCCAGTATTTCCGCTCACACTGGGAGTCCGTGGTGCAACATATCATGCTCACATCTTTCCATTCGTCCAACAGCCGAAGGATTTATACAACCTATGGGGACCGTCGAAGACTCTCAATCAGTATATATCGGTCAATGAAGTTTGGACAATCTACCATCATGGTTAGTTTTGTTGTTTCCAAGATTATAGGCTTACTCTCAATTCAGGCGAACCGGTTGTTAATGACCTGGGAGTCCAAACTCACATAAAGCCATCATTGCGTGAAGTGGAAGAACATTTTGCTGCACGATGGCGTTCAAGTGCGAAGGTTTGTTCCTATTCCAGCCGTAAACAATACTCTGATTTGGTGTAGGCCAAGAAGGAATGGTCACGTTTCATCGAGATCTGGGAGTACATTCGCAAGCAAGCCGCCAATCGCCAAGTCCCACATTTGATAGTTATTGAAGAGCTGGAGGCGATCCGCAACATGTCAAGTCCTCGGATGGGACTGAATTCTCTCTATTTACATCTGAAGAAGGTTCGGGAGGACAATGTTTTGGCTAGTCAACCTCAGGCAGCAGTCAAAGTCAATATCCCTGAAGTCGCTACTCGGAAACGAAAGGCACCGATTGATCCCCGTGGCAAGCAAAAAAAGCAGCACCTCATGAGTTTGTAGATGCATGTTTAGACACTATATGCACTTCTTTATCTTCAATTCATGAAATTCTATCATTTATAACGAAACAATCCGAAAGAACTTGAATAATGCTGATGTGATTGGTAATCAGACAAACCTTCGCTTCGACTTGTACCTACTGCGAAGGCCTTATAAGAGCCACAGCTAGGTAGAATGCCAAATGTCTGATTATCTAAACTCCCAACTGCTTCAACACTTATGGAGTAAGACGATCGAGAATTCAGGAGTGGCTATCCTCCTTCTCTCCTCCGACACCATGGGTGTACACTACCTATGGAATGTATATCCTGACAACTGCAGTTGCTGTTCTTGTTACTCACAGATTCAACACTAGGCTGTCAAAGTTGCGGAGCAAGTCTGCCATCTTCAGCACTATATTCTTTCCGAAACCCAATCTCGAACCCCTGCTGAAGGACCATACACCATTGGTGTAGATGCACTGTGGGTCTCCTTCTTATATGTTCAGCACGGTTTAATTTTTCTGGATTATTAGCGAACTACTACAGACCTGCAAAGCGGTCACCGCAAGGCCAGGAGCAAAACATGCTCGTGCGGAGAAGATATTCTTTTTCAAGCTTTGTAACCTGCTCAATCTGCCTGCAAAAATTGTGTTTGTCTTTGATGGAGCTTCAAAACCAACCCAGAAGCGTTCAACATCTGTCTTGACGCATTCAATCTGGTCTCATATCTACCCTCTGATTAAAGCATTTGGATTCGACATTATCACGGTGCGAAATACATCTGTATACCTCTTTCTACCCACCAAACTCTTGTTTAGGCACGTGGTGAGGCCGAGGCTGAGCTTGCTGCGATGAATGCAGCAAGAACGATTGATGTGGTTACAGGCGTATACGGGGTTTTTTTTAAAAAGATCCCTTGTAATTAGAATATTAACATTTTTAAAAAACATCAGTGATTTACAAGTCTTCCCCTCATTTTAATAAAATCCACGCTGTCAAACTCTGTATCTTTCTTGGCACCTTGGCATCAACAATTTTTTTCATCTTTTTTAGCCTTTCCCCTACTCAGTATTTTCCCCATACTTAAGGAATTTTCCACACGTCAGGTCTGGGGCCTTATAGCTACCACACTGCCCACCCTGACAAGGCTTTTCAACCTTTTAAACCTTTTTTTGATCTCTCATTTCCCTATGTAAAACCCGCCTTTTGGCAGGGGCATAAATTAGAGGCATTTTTTTAAAAACATTAACACTGGTAATGAGAAGGCTTTTTTAAAAAAAACCCCGTGTACAGGTGGTGGTTATGACTAATGACAGCGATGCTTTTGTTTTCGGCGCTATCTCTGTCCTTCGTTGGCCACGGTGGGTGATGTATCACTGGCACCTCATCTTTATTGACTGACCTTTCATAACTGACTCTTACAATGCGTCCATATATCACACACACACAATTTTCAACCGCCTAAACCTTTCACGGAACGACTACATCTTGTTTGCCCTTCTCGTTGGCAATGACTACGACACTGTTGGTTTGCCTGGCTGTGGCGAAAAGCTCGCGTTACGTGTCACCTCGCAGACAAGCCTTGCCAACGCTCTCGTTGATATATTCGGTAAAGAAGTGGATGGCTCCGCACTTAACACACTGTTACTGCAGTGGACGACAGACTTGCGTGACTGGTTCCGTACAAATGGACAACTTGCAATTGCTGGCAACTGGCCAAACACATTTCCATCTATCGAGGTTCTCACTCAACTGATCAAACCCGCTATCTCCGTGCCTCTTACAACCCCATCTCGTCCCGGGTATGCGGCAAATCTGACCGAAATTGCAAACCAATATCGAGCTCTTTTTCACGAAGAGCCTTCGACTACCATGAAGTCACTCGAGAATAATCTGTTTGGCCCATATGCAACCCACTGCATGTTCTATGTGTGTACCTTGTCGCTCGTTCCTCCACAGTGTTAAACCCACAATGTGTGTTCTTACAGGCAGGAACCATGTACAACCAAGGCACCTTTCGAACCCCAACCGGTTCTCTTACACTGACAGCCCCAAAGAGCACCACCGTGCCCAAGACCAAACATCTGAAATGCCCTTCTCATACCGACCTCATATTCACCCTCCGTCAACTCCAGTTTGATGCCGCAACTTGAAGTTTAGTTGAAGAAGCGGCTCTTGGAAGCTATTCGTATCGGGCGTCAAGTGTCTCGGTCTGGGTACCGGCTGCTTGTATTGCACGTTTTGATCTGAGTGGTGAGTCTGCGAGGCAAAGCGAAGTCAGTTCTCAATGGCGTTTAGGATATCTCGGGACTCCAAAGGCAGCCAAAACGGTCCCCAAGGATATTGTCCAAGTCGTGACCCACTCTCCCTCGATTGAAGCCGCTTCCGGAGTAGTACGACAACACCATCGCAAAAGAGTTCGCTCGCCGTCAATCGAGATTGTGGAATCAGAGACGTGGAGCCAGACCGCAGACCAAAGCAAACTCCCAGCTCTCGAAAAACTGAGCACCAAGGCCACGCCAAAGAAACACCGCCCTGCTCGTTATCCCTCTTCAGACTCAGACATTGTCATTTTGTAGCCATATGGTGTGGAGTCCATGCAGTTCATCTAGCACTTTTCTCGATTAAAAACCGTATCTATACGCTTGCGCATCGTGTACATGTACGCAATAAATAACTACTTAATAAATTTCAGCACCTTGATGAGCATGCCGATATATCTGACTCACCGAAGCCACCGAAACCGTTCCATTCGCCTGCCAGCCACCGCTTCAAAACTCAAACCTCGAAATTGCCTCTGCACTATGCATGACCCAAACACGGCGTGCACATGGCCTCCGGAGCGGAGCTGTAAAGCCCGAGAAAGCAGTGAGGAGGGGGAAGAGGTGCAAGCATGCCGCGCAGGATCCAAGGGCGAATCACCTTGCGGCATGCTTGCGAGGGTCAAGGGAAGTCAAGAAAGGGCGGCAGTGAGGAAGAAGGGGAGGGGAGTAGACTTGATATAATTTCTAGTGCGTGAGTGAGGTCACAGGTGGAGATATAGAAGGTGAGGCCTGTGAGTTGGTTGTTGATGAGCAGGACGCGTCGGTCAAGCAACACGTGCAATGTGTCACAGGTGACGATGGCGGATTTTGGGCCTGAAACTGCCAGCCGATCGGTGACCGCGCCCGCCAGCGAGACGGTGACCGCGAATTTGAGCAGGACGGGGGGATCGACAACGACGGGTGATGGGAGGAGGCCGTCGCAGCCAAACGTGGGCCAAGCGGAGTTTGAAACGAGGCCGGAAAGGGGCCGCAAGGACGGTGACCCAGGCGGTGACTTTCGTTGCCACTTTCCTTTTTTGGACATGCGGTCACGGAAACCCAACAGAGAACAATCGGCCCCAGTTATTTGGGCCTGTATCTGCCACAAATAAGTCCAGCTTCGGGCCGCTTTTTTTCACCAAAACCCCGATGTGATAAGTGAAATGGTGAAAATAATTTCTAACATGTAAGAATCAGCTTCTTGATGCTATGTTAACATGCAATCCGCCCCTGTGACTCGTCGATATCTTCGCGCCAGCACGTGGTCGGTCACACCTCGGCGCTTCTTTCGTCAACAGCCACGTCGTCACGATTGGCGTTCCACGCACTGCACTGACCGCCCTGCACCTGAAGGCGATGTAGCGGGGTGCTGACAGCGCGCACTGACAGGTCGTCGAGGCTATCGATGGCCACGCCATTCCGCCTGCCAGACGCTGCCAATCCTGTGCATCGGCGACCAAACGCGCGCGACCTTGGCCCGCGCTGCATTCCGCGTGCCATTCGGGCCCTCGTCTATATCTCGCATATAAGGCCCATCGCGCCCTGCCCTCCAGCCCACTGCCCAATGTTCCAGAAGCTCCTCCCGAAGCTGCCCTCGCTCGCCGCGCCGTCGACCGCGCTCACGCTCGACCAGCTGGTGAACCAGAGCGCGGTGCCGCAGGGCGCGGGCGAGCTCGGCGCGGCGGTGCTCGGCGTCGCGGGGAAGCCGACCGCGCCGCAGGAGCTCTACGACGCGCTCGTGCACTACTTCAAGTTCGCGTCGACGGCGTATGCCATCATCCTCCCCGGCCCGTCGCTGATCCCCGTCCGGCCGAACGGGCAGAAGATGGTCGGCAAGATGTTCGACCTCCTCACGGACTCGCACGGGTACGTCGCACGGGACGACAAGCGCGCGGAGATCATCGTGGCCTTCCGCGGGAGCGTCAGCCCGCAGAACTTCATCACCGACGCACTCGGCGCGCTCGTGGACTGGGACAGCACGATTAGCAACATCCAGGCGCCGGAGGGCACGAAGATCCACTGGGGCTTCCAGAAGGCGTGGGCGACGCTCGCGGCGAAGACGCTCGCCCTCGTGACCGCGGAGCTCGCCGCGCACCCGACGTACACGCTCGTCACCGCGGGCCACTCCCTCGGCGGCGCGCTCGCGGCCCTGGCGGCGGTCACGCTCCAGAAGACGTTCCAGAACGTGCCGCTGCGGTGCTATACGTACGGCCAGCCGCGCACGGGGAACGCCGTGTGGGCCGCGTGGGTTGACGAGGTCGTCACGCCGGACCGGCTCTTCCGCGGTAAGCATTCGTCCCTCTCACTCCGCGAACCTGAATCTGATCTGTCTGCAGTCGTGCACTCCAACGACGGCGTCCCGACGATGGCGCTCGCCTCCCTCGGGTTCGTGCACCACTGTGCGTCTTTCCCTTCTCCATATGAAGCACAAGCTAAGGTTGTCTGCAGCAACGGAGTACTGGGCGCTCTCGCCGCACTCCCCACAGCAGACGTACATCTGCGTCGCGCCGGGCGTCGCGGAGGACCCCGCGGGGAGCCGCAAGCTCCCCACGACGGGGATCAACCCCGCACATCTCGTGGTATGTTTTCTCCCAAGTCGTATTAGGCGGAGGAGCTAACTGTGTGGTAGTATTTCGGGATTTTCTATATGACGCCGTACTTGATTTGAGCGGGAGGTTCGTTAGCTGTATTCTTATTATATGTAGCATTTCTTTCCAATGTCGATTCTCCTGTTCATGACCAGCTTATGGCAAGTCAACGGAAAATTGGCACCCAGTAATTAAGTTTATTTTGCCTTTGGAATCCCGGTCACAATTTGACTCTCACAAAAATGCATTCAAAAAAGCCCATTGAAAGTCTATCATTTTCTGCATCAGCAAACTTGGTCCAGTCGTCGGAACTTTTTATTGCCTCTCAGGCCGGTGTCGAGCGGGCGACGCGTACGCGCCTGGAATCGAACGCGCGGGGCCCCGCGGACGACTTTCGCGAGCTGAAACGGGTACCGGAGCGAACCGGCGCCGGCCGGTTCCAGACCGAGGCCGAACGCGCCCCAAACGCGCCGATGGGACGAATTCCGAGGCCAAACTGGCTCGGGTCGAGGCCCTAGGGGTCCAAACGTGCGTGAAGGGGTCCAGGGGCGCTAGAAAGCGTCGGAGTTGGGTGAAACATGTCAGAAATGGGCCGCGGAAAGACCGGAGGACGAGCACGTGACCGCGGAGATGGCATAGGCCGCGGCCGGGCTGAGGTATAAATTGAGCGCCGTTTGTACCGTTTAGACAGTGAATCGCACCCCACCTTTGGGATGGATTTGGCTCACCTTTGATGGCAACAACCCGATAACGATAACGCGATAACATAACGATAACGATAAGCGATCTGGAACCTTTGAACTTGGCAACAACGATATATTGGGACAACATATGAAGAGAGAGACTTTCCACCAACACTGAACCTGTGGTCTATGTGATTGGATGAAGACTCCACTATGCTCAGATGCGCTTACCTTCATGGAACGTCGCCCTCTTTGGATTGAGCGACCCATGTTGGAGCTGTTTATGCCATTCTTGGTGTGGCAGTTGTTGCTCTTGATGCTGGTGGTTTGCATGTGCATAATGGGAGGAAAGACAACAAAAACAAGAGAAAACATATCAAATCTCAAAAACATACCAGCTGTGACTGTGACTGTGACCACTACCATTTTGGGTTTTGGTGTTGGATTTGGGTTGTGTTCATTTTGGAGTGGGTTGATGTTGGGAGTATGTTTGGCTACCAGAGACATGCTCTGTGTGTCACACCTGCTCTCCTCTGGGTCAACACCCTCTTCTTCTCCACCCACCTCAATAACAACAACACCACCACCACCTTGTTCACCCAAGCTACCATCAACATCAACATTGATCTCATCATCACAACCACACCTACACTCAAGCTTCTTATCCAACTTGGTCATTACCCTCATGTTGCTCTTATGGGTTGCAGCATGGATATACTTTCCATGGAGCCCCGAACACACCAACCACGATTTGTTGGTTTTGTTTGTTTGTGGAGTTATTTCCGCATTCAGCATCTCTCGCATTTCGCGCGTTTCATATGGAGCCCACCGCGAGGGGCTCATCCATAAGGACAACAATGACAATGACAAGTTGGAATCTGTTCCCTATATTCTTTCTAACTCTTTAGATCCTCAAGACTCTGGCAGTCAGCCTCTGTATCTCTCTGAATTTCCCTTGAAATATTCAGCAAAATATCCAGAAAAAGTGGAAAAACCCGAGAAAATATCACAAAAATATTTCGACTTTTTCACCTCAAATCATTCATTATTATTCGATCGGTTACCGGATAACCTGCACAACAATTCTATCTCGGTATTTATGTCAGGCCACTCTCGGATACCCCGGCCAAGACGCCAACCAGGCCACGCAGGACATGGCTCTGCAGCCCCAGCCCTCAAGCCAAGCCCTCCGTTCCGCATTCCGAGACCCTGGGAAGCTCACCGGCCAACTTTCGGATCGGATTCAATCGATGATCTTGCCGAGTTCCTCGAGAACGTGGCAACGATTTTCGAACTCGGCAGCCTTGCTGGACAACAAGAGCGGAAGGTCTTGATGACCAGTTATCTGCCAACAAGGAAGCGTGAATTTTGGCGCGAACTTGAGACGTACGGACCAGTCTATTCATACAATGAGTTCGAGAAGGAGGTTCGAGAACTATACCCCGAATTAACGCGGAGGCGTAACGGACAACTTCGAGGACTTGACTGAGTTGTGTGCAGAATATGTGGATGTGTCGCTTATGGAAGAAGGGCGGCTACGGCGATTCGGACGGCAGTTGCTGGTTTTGGCAAAGAAACTACAAACGGCACCGTCAGTTTTGACGAATCGCGAAGCCTGCCAACGTTACCTGAAAACACTCGCCACTACATCCGCAGATCAAGTTCGGCGGGGATTACTGGACCGACAAGTCGGTCGATTTGTTCAAGAGGGGCTCGGGGTTCGTACCGCAGCACCAAACCGGCGTCGAGAAGACCCATATTTACTGGAGGAAATGATTCAGGTCGCCGAGCGACTGGCAGCAATGGGAAATATTGACTTACTGGATACTGCCAATACCAACGAACAGATCTCTTCAACAGAGTTTCACGATTCGGAGCAGATGACGGAAGATCGCAGGCGGCACCCAATGAATGTGGAAGCCAGCTCGGACGATACACGCGGTGGTCGGCCAGCATTCAGACCACATTCGGGGACAACTCGCAAGGACACCGTGACTCCAGTGATATCAATACCAACGCACCACGGACGAGCGCGATCGCGTTCCAAGAGCCGCGACATTCAAGAAGTAGGTCGAACATTGCCAATGTCGAATGTTGGAGTTGAGGACACCAAGGAGAAGCCATCGGTGTATCGAACACGACACCGAGAGCCGGTCGCTGCCAATCCAAGCCCAGCTGGCCAGCGGAGAAGTGAAGCCATGAAGGTTGGGCGGCATGCTGAGAAACAGAATCATCAGCTAGGATTCGGCGCTCGCGAGCACGAGAGAACGGGACGCACCATCAGTAAGCCAACAACGCCGAGACCTTCCATCGAAAGTGGACGCGTTAATCAAACGAGCCTCCCGAAGGAGCAACAGTTACGCACGGAAAGCGAAGATGGATTTGACTGGGAGAAAGGTGGCGGCCAGCTGCCGCAGCATCTTGCGAAGGTCCGCGTATGGTGGCAAGCACAAGACGAGCATCCGCTGGATGTATACCTACAGGAAAATGGCCAAGGAGACGAGACCAAAGTGTGCTGGGCGAGCGAAAGCAGAAATGGGCCGAATTTGACCAGAGATGAGGCGGGAGAAGAACGATTGAGCCCACAGAAGAACGGGCTGGTGAACGAGACGACAAGCGCCGGATGGATGGGAGAATCGCCCGCATGGAGCGAGGCCTTGCAAGACCGGACCGGCCGTGAGATGGATGAATTGAAGGAGTACCCCGAATGCGTTCGCGATGAGCTGAAGTCGCTCTGTATAGCGGTTAAGCGGCTTCAGAATGAGGGATTCGTCGCAGCAAGAGACTTAGACAAGAAGACGAACTCAGCCCTCGGATTCCTTGAAGATTCACATGCACGGATGCGAGATATCCTGGAAGATGTGCAGGAACAATTGAATCGGCTAGAAGGAGTGGAAGAACGGCGAAATCGTGTGGTTGGCATTGCTGAAGCCGAACCGAAGCGGCAGGCGTCGCTCGTGAACGATGTCAAAGGCTATATGGATGGAATGCACAGCGAAGAGCCGTTTAAGATGTGCAAAACAAACAACAACGACCTGCGAGACGATCTCGGAAGCGTCCGAGACGAGTTGAAGTCGCTCTGGAACATTGTTAGACGATTAGAGCATGGTGGAATGGACACACGGACGGCTATCGATGCAGAGACAACAGCACTATTGGGATATCTTGAAGACTCCCACTTGAGGCTTTGGGACGCAGTCGATGAGTTGCGTGAGCAACTGCGCATGTTTGAGACGTCGGAAGGAAGAAGAGAGCCTACCAGCGCTTGTCCTTGACAGCCAAACCGAGCGAACGGTGCAACGAATGAGTAATCTCGAACACTGTGTTGAGGTGCTGGCCAAGACGTTGAAGAAACAAGGACTCGGAGAGGACATCAGTGAGGCGTGTGGAGAGCCTCATAGTGCGCTTGACTTGCGGCGAGCTCAGGAGACAAGGCGCGGCGATTTGGAGCAGTCAATGGCACATATATCAAAGTGCCAGGGGTCGAAAGAGGCAAATTCACCGCCAGATGTCGAGGATGCATTGCTGATGAATTGGTTACGAGAGGAATGGTTTGGGGGACGAAAGGCACCCACAGAAAGTCATCAAGGATTTGCACCGCTGTTGACGATGAAGCAGCGGCGGGCTATCGAACGCGTGGAACATGCCAAGTCGAAATCTGCAAACAATAGTTCCAAAACACGGCGAGGCAAACGAAAACAACTGACTCACCGAAAGCAATCACAGGAAGTTGGTGGATTGGTAGATTTGGGTGCAGATGAAGCTTGTTAGGAAGGTGTATGAAGAAGCAGACAATGGGTAGATGGAAAATTGCCAAGAATGAGCAATGGAAGCCAGGGAAACGGCGCCGACAAGTTACATTTGACACTTGGGAGGATGCCACGTCACAAGCAAGAGTGAGCAGTCGCCAAGCCAAGAAGCAAAGCTTGAGAGAGCTACCAAGAGAGCTTGCAATTGGTTGTGTTGGAAGGTCCGGGAAGGCGAGCGCTAACTCAGGAAGGATGGGCGATTTGAGCAGAGGAAGATGATCAATGTGGTGGGAAGGAAGACGCGGAAATCAGCTGACTCACGGGTGATCCGGAACGTGGCGATGATGGGTGAGTGAGGACACTCAGATTTCAAAAAGGGGGAGATGTCGAGCGGGCGACGCGTACGCGCCTGGAATCGAACGCGCGGGGCCCCGCGGACGACTTTCGCGAGCTGAAACGGGTACCGGAGCGAACCGGCGCCGGCCGGTTCCAGACCGAGGCCGAACGCGCCCCAAACGCGCCGATGGGACGAATTCCGAGGCCAAACTGGCTCGGGTCGAGGCCCTAGGGGTCCAAACGTGCGTGAAGGGGTCCAGGGGCGCTAGAAAGCGTCGGAGTTGGGTGAAACATGTCAGAAATGGGCCGCGGAAAGACCGGAGGACGAGCACGTGACCGCGGAGATGGCATAGGCCGCGGCCGGGCTGAGGTATAAATTGAGCGCCGTTTGTACCGTTTAGACAGTGAATCGCACCCCACCTTTGGGATGGATTTGGCTCACCTTTGATGGCAACAACCCGATAACGATAACGCGATAACATAACGATAACGATAAGCGATCTGGAACCTTTGAACTTGGCAACAACGATATATTGGGACAACATATGAAGAGAGAGACTTTCCACCAACACTGAACCTGTGGTCTATGTGATTGGATGAAGACTCCACTATGCTCAGATGCGCTTACCTTCATGGAACGTCGCCCTCTTTGGATTGAGCGACCCATGTTGGAGCTGTTTATGCCATTCTTGGTGTGGCAGTTGTTGCTCTTGATGCTGGTGGTTTGCATGTGCATAATGGGAGGAAAGACAACAAAAACAAGAGAAAACATATCAAATCTCAAAAACATACCAGCTGTGACTGTGACTGTGACCACTACCATTTTGGGTTTTGGTGTTGGATTTGGGTTGTGTTCATTTTGGAGTGGGTTGATGTTGGGAGTATGTTTGGCTACCAGAGACATGCTCTGTGTGTCACACCTGCTCTCCTCTGGGTCAACACCCTCTTCTTCTCCACCCACCTCAATAACAACAACACCACCACCACCTTGTTCACCCAAGCTACCATCAACATCAACATTGATCTCATCATCACAACCACACCTACACTCAAGCTTCTTATCCAACTTGGTCATTACCCTCATGTTGCTCTTATGGGTTGCAGCATGGATATACTTTCCATGGAGCCCCGAACACACCAACCACGATTTGTTGGTTTTGTTTGTTTGTGGAGTTATTTCCGCATTCAGCATCTCTCGCATTTCGCGCGTTTCACCGGAAATGAGTTAACAAGCTAAACTTTGTCCACTTGGAAAAACCTGTTCCAATAGTTTACAAATTTTAAGGCTCCAACCAAATACAATACAATACTCAATATAACCCAATAAATACAATCCATATATATATACCATGTGGATTTTTTTTTTTTGTAGTATAGAGTATATACTATATACTATTGAGTTTTCTCAGAGGCCTATATGGGCAGTATCTGTGGGTCATACAAGGTGTTATAAAGTCAAAATTCCCTTAGATAGGATATTTTCCAAGTCTTTGTTACAATACTTTCTGGGACCATCTCTGATATTTGAGCAAGACATTCATCTTATTACCCAGTTTCCTCTTGATCTAATATCTGTGTAGTTTCACTGCTTTACTATTATATTTGATGATTCAAAGCCTTGGATAATCTCAATATCATTTTTTTTGCAGCTCTCAGACGCTCAGGACCTATCACTAAGATTATTATTGTACTCAGCATATGGCAGAACTATACTAGATAGTTAATAAGGATCAGGATGATAATATACATAAAATAACATTCTAAAACAATATACTATCTACTATATACTTTGGGTTATAAGTCAATACTATCCATATCCCAATACAAGACATGCCTTGGAGTGTATATGGATAGTAATTAGTTGGAGCCTTATTTAAAAATCACACTGAATCTTGCCCCACCCTCAAAACTAGTATGAAGTCTCCATGTCATTAGATACCTTTGCACCAGGAAAATAACAATTTCTCAACTTCAGATCTAGACTGCCAATGAATTCTTCGCCTCCAGAAACTTTATACTTTTAGTTCGATGTGTGTCTTAACAACACTTCGCCTCGTCCCAGTAATGTTTCTCGCCTTGACATATTTTAATGAATGGTTGCAAGGCAGCGCAGATTTGCATTGATTTTGGGTATTACAATAATTAAAAGTCCAATGAACACACAAACAGCCACTACTTCCCAATCGGCTTATACACGCCCTTGCCCACGCGGCCCGCACACGCACAGCAGCGGCCCACCAAGAACATAATCGGGGTCACAAAGAGGAGGATCATGGCCACAAGCGTGAGCCACACGGCACTGCCCATGACGGCGCTCCTCGCGCCGCTGACGTCCTCGACGCGCTTCTTGACGAGCGCAAAGAACGCGAGGTCGAACGCGAAGACGACGAGGCCGGTCGCGCCCGCGAAGCCGGCGAAGCAGTTCGCGCAGCACTCCGCGAGGAGCGGGACGCCGAGCAGCGCGAGCACGCCGCACGCGAGCGCGCCGAGCGCGACGGCGAGCGCGACGAGGTGCAGCACGAGCGCCTTGGTGAGCGCGGTGGTCGCGACGGTGACGGAGGAGGAGAGCACGGAGGGGAGCGTGCCGTTGATGTACTTGGACGCCTCTGCCCAGCGCGTTAGGGGCAGCACGGGAAGAAAGAGGGAGGACACGCACCAGATAGCGAATACCCGATCTTCGCGGGCGAGCACTGCAGCCCCATGCCGTTCTGGAGGTCGGTGCAGTAGCCGAGCACGCCGAGGTCCACGTACGGCGTCGTCTGGCTCGTCGTCGCCGTCGACACCGCCGCGCCGGTGAGGTCGATGCGCAGGAAGTAGATCGCCTTGAACTCGGGCACGCAGAACGCCACCAGCGCCAGCAGCACACACGCGCCCGCGAGCGCGGCGACGCCGAGGATCTTCGAGCAGCCCATAGCGAGAAGGAAAGAGTAAAAGGGGCAGACGATGAAGGGGAGAAGGAAAAAAGACAGCCGTCGACGACGCCGGCAACTTTTATGCGGGTCGTTATGTAACCGTGCACAGCCATCACACAGCCGCGTCCGCAGCGCGGGGTACATCCATACAGTGCATCTCGCCTCCGTGCGCCGTGCGCGGCATCGGGGTGGCTGTATTGCGGTGCCCCCTGCATTTCTATAGCTCCTGAGGGCATCGGACGGCCAGCGCAAAGCCCAAACACCCCCGTCCGACGCTGATCGGCCGTGAAGTCTTGGCGCTGGTATCTCCTTGCCGCGGGGATCAGAGACCTGTCGTCGTGCCGAGCAAGTGGTCCCGGCCAAGCATGCATCGCGACACACGCATTCGGAGTCTCGTCCCGAAGTGCAGCCCATGCAGAGCGCCCTTGCGGCACAGGCAGGGAAGTATTGATCCAGGAATGGCGAGGTCGTGACGGTGGTCTTACTTCAAGCCAGGTGCATGAATCATAGTCTGAGTCAGAGCGGGTCCCCTGACTTACCGCGCCGTATATAAGCGGGTCAAAGTCCAGCGCCAGAGCCGCGTCTCCTCAATCTTTCACAACAGTGAGTATGCATCCACCATGACCGCACCCACCGACGGCGACCTCGCCCAGACAAGCCAGACAACCCAATATCACGAGACGCTGAAAACGCTCCTCGGGGAAGCCTACCGACCAAGCCGGGCTCTGGCCACACGCCGCGCGCAACTCGGTGCCGCGCGCGGACTACGGGGCGCTCCTCGCCGCCCACATCGCCGCGCTCGAGCGCTTCCTCCGGCGCTTCGCCGCCGCCGGGCGCGCGCGCCGCGTGATTCAACGCAGCCGTGCCGCAGCGCCGGATCATCCTGCAGCCGAACCCCGCGGGCGCCCAGAGCGCATCGCCATCGCCGCCGGCGCCGTGCGCATCCGGGTGCACCCGAGCTGGTTCGGCAGCCCCCCTCTGCGCGCCGCTCGGCCCGCAGTACGACCGCAGCTATTAACTTTTTAGCAACGCGGTTCCCAAAATGGGTAATCGATCACATGCACCCGCCACCTCCGCGGCTCCGCCGTGTAAGGGCGGTCGGTGTGACCACTGTCACCTGCTCCTTGCCCTGTCTCCCATCATCCATGCCCCACCAACTTGCTGCTGCACCGCTCCCCCGCCCCAAGCAAGTGGCATAGCCCTCACTCAACTTCTCCAACACACTCGGCGCTCGACCTGAAGTCTCCAGTGACTCCTGGGGCTTTGAGATTTAGGGCCGGGGGTGGCACAGTCCGTTTGGTCCAAAACACCTCACAGGACTGGTGGACTAGTGGCGTCGCTGGGCACGCCTCGCTGCACTGGAGGGTCTGTTCTTTTCGCGGGCCTGGGCCACGCAGGCCGGCGGGCGGAGGGCGGACTTTGGAACTTGAGTGCTAGTTGTGACGTTGCTAAATTGTTCGCAACTTGCGACCGCGCGCAGGCCGCGCTCGGCGCGGAGTGTATACGAAATCAGTGGGACTGGGACTGGCCCAATCCCACTGTTCGTGGGCGTTCTGGCTTGCCCACCCATCATGCCACGGCATGTCACGGCACCGTCAAGGTACAATGCGTTGAGTGACTTACTTCCCTCTCAAGATCTCAAGTCAAAGCGTGCTGTGACAAATGGTGGTCGTCAAATGTGAACTATAGTACATATAAAAAACTTGTAACTACAAATATACATTTTTGTTAGACTGCTGAGTGAGATTCCTTTCGGTTTTGTCTTTTTTCTGGAGATGGGGGCAACAGCAAACGCTGCCGTTTATGCTGGCTATTCTCTGAGTCATCATCGTCCTCCGAGTCTACCTCATCTGCTCGACGGACAAGTGATGCTTTGGGGATGGCTTGGAGCACGCTGCTCGTGGCAGCTCGATCGGATCGTAACTGCAGCTGTGCCTCTAGACTTTGCATCGTCACCCGGAACTTTTCGATCTCCATAGTTTCGGCACTGGTAAATGGTGCTGGATTGGCCGAGTTCTTGAAAGCATCGACACAACATGCCAGGACATGCTGCGCCTTTGCAAGCTCAAAAAACAGTCGTGAATGTGCTTGAGCTTCAAATGCATCTATGGATGATGGCACTCCGGTTGGTTGTGTTGCCGATTCTGAGTCAGAGGAAGAAAGACTCAGTGAGGGCAGCAGCAATGGCCCCATTAGCTGTGTGTCAGTGTCGGCCTCAGACTCTGCCGGCCGCGGCGTCTCCGAGTCCGAGTCCAGAATCTCGGAGTCAGCAGTAGGGGAGTCACGGTCCGAGTCTGATTCGCCACTCCTTGCCAACATAGCAGTCAACGCATCATTGATATCTTGTGCTAGATGTGCTGTTGGAGAAAAGCCTATTGCCAGCTGCGTGATGCGTCCACGCGAATGTATGCCCAGTCGGATTTGGAGTTCAATGGCTTGTTGGTGTGTCTCAGGAATAGGAATTGTATCAACGTGAAATTCGATGCGCCGCTGCCGTTGAAGTTGTTCCAATAGTGCCAAGCTGCCCCGTATATGCTTGCACGCCCAGCCGTGGTGAATGAAGTCAGAGCATTCCGCAGTTTGCTGCCCCGTTGCGAAGGATCTGGACAGTATACGTGACAGATACAGACTCTCCATCGAGAGATTTGGAAGAATGGCACACAAATTCGAAGGCGGAGACCTCTTCAAGCCCATCGGCAGTAGGAATCTCGATGACGACGGGAATCTCAATTTGACGTGAAAGCACCATTGCACCCCCACGGGTTTGACGTTGGTCGTCGTCGGGCCGGTATGCAATAAAGGGAACAATTGTCAGGGGAACCTCCCTTTCGGCCCCTCGGAGACGCCTCCGATTCCGGTCCGACTCCGGTTCCGTCTCCGGTCCGGCCCTCCATCTTGCCCGCACAATCACCGATCCGTCAACGCCCTCCCGACGGTCGCCCTGGGACCTCGCCTGCGACGCCGCCCAAGCCTTCTGTGCCCGACAGCGGCAGCTACGGACAAGCAGTATATAGTCAGCTACCTAGCAGGCGGACCCTTAGAGTTTCTTCTCTTTGGATCCTCCCCTGCTAGGTCAGCTTCATTTGTATTCGCTTACCAATGTTCACGCTTTGGATCCTCCCCTGCTAGGACCTTGATCTCAGGCCTCCGGGGTTGCCCTTACAACAATGTCATTAGAACGTGAAGCCGCCGCGTGCAATAAACTCTTTCCCGCCTGGTGCAGACGCGTACTTGGCTTGGGAAATAGCCAGCTCTTCTGCAGCGGCTTGGCGATTCTGAAAGACAGCGGGGAGAATCTGTGTGATAAGCACATTGATGAATAGATCAGGGCGGAGTCGACGGCCACCACGCTTCCAATTTGCCAGATGCGAGTTTTTCAATGCACCGTTAAAACCCTCGACATGATTAGTCGTTGACAAGACTTGTGTCATAGGACACTTTAGGCGGCGGGCTGCTTCAATGCGGCCTGCATCCGCCCAGCTATCGAAGAGTCCAGCACGAAGCCAGAACCCATCACCAAGATAATCAAGGTGCTTGAAGACATTTGATGCCACAGCAGGAAGTGCGCCTCCGTTCGCGGCCTTAAGGGAAGCCTCCAACGTCCTATGTTCATGAGCAATAAGGGCTCGTGCTGCCGCTTCGTTGGGCTGTTGAACAAGAAGCTGCTCGAAATGGACAAACCGTCCCTTGAGGTCGTCGATGAGCTGACTTGTGCCTTTTAGCATTTGGTTGCGGTGGTTACGCCAACACTGCTTCAGATGGAAGCGGCATATGAGCAGCCAGATGCCAACAAAGATGCGCAAAAGAGCACCACGCTCCTTCAAATCAGTGTCCGTTATGGCGGTTATGGGAGTAAATGGTGTTCCGCCGGGACGGGAACGACAGGTAGACCTGTTCAGCTTGTCACGCCAGTGCATAAGCAGCTTGGCAATGATTTCGGTGTCATACCCAGCTGACGACTGCTGGTTCCCGGTGGGTGCCGAAAAGAGTAAGCATGCAACCGGAATGCCCTTGCGATCTTCGTCAACGACTATGACAATGAAAAGTAGCATGCGTGAATTAGTGACACCGAATGTGCCATCCAACAGTAGCTGTCCACAGTGTCCATACTTCCATGCCGCCTCATCCATCTCTGGTGACGACACACAGATCTCCAACCGTTCCTCCCGTTCGGTGCGAGCTGAGTAGTGGAATACCGCATTTGCAATGGTGGGATTGTAGTCGCGAGAGGCCGGATCTAGCCAGCCATCGATATTGTACTCGGCCTTTTGAATAACCTTGACACCACCAATGCGACGAAACTGTCGAAGAATGCTTCGGGTGTCCTTCTTTTGGTTGAGAAGCCATCGGTGCGGGTCCTTTGTGCGGTCGAGAGGAAATCCAGGGTATGCATGGTTCCGGACCAATTCGACATTCTTGCGAAAAATGGCTCGCATTGGCGCGCCAGCAGACAGCTGTATTAGCGCCTGCTTCAATACGACTGGTGAAATAGGCTGTCGGGGTCGATTTTCCATCATGGCATTATTGCAGCCCGCCGTTGTGATGTGTCAGTCCGCGGATGCGCAAGATTGCACGTGTTGGTGGATGGATGGTGATCTCCAGATGGACAGGGCAATCAGTAAGTGCGTAAGAGGCATTGCGTGTCTTGGATCCACGCTTCGTGTGGTCATAGCCGCAGGTGCTATAATCACAATGTCAGTGAGAGCATACTTGATTATGAAAATAGCATACCAGCCAATTAGGATGCGCTTGGTACTCCAAAGGGCCGGAGGCTTCGAATGATCCTTGTGGTTTGACCAATATGAGGTCCAATGCCCGTCTAGAGCCTGCTCGTCAGGCTCCTGGGTGAAATTGAGTGATACAAGCTGTGCAAGAGCATCGACTTGGGCCAGAGGATTGACAGTGTGGTCGTAGATGATGTCAAGCGGCAAGCTAGTAGCGTAGAATTTGCGGATGGTGGCAACAGCAGCATCTGACACTTTGAGTTTGTCAATATAGATCTTGGTTCTTCGATCGGAGCTGTCAAGTTGTGGAATGCCGTTTTGGGGGAGAGTTCTATCCTTCGGTTTGCCAGGCATGCTGGCACAACAGTGGCAATGACTAACAAGGACTCGGAGAGATGAAGGGAGGAGTGGAGGAACAGTGTGCATTGAGATAGCTACAAACAGACAAACCAAAGCAACAATGCGTGCACCGCCCGGTCTCTTCCTTGTCGGCGACATGAGAGAAAAATCGGAGAGATGACGTCGTGTGACAGGCTGCCGGGCTGCCGGACATCCGATCAGCCGATGATGGGTGGGCGGGCCACTAAACCCTGTTCGTGCCCAGTCCCACTGATTCACGTCCCATCAGTGGGATTCGTGCCGTCAAACGTGACGCATTCACGAGTCCCACTGATCAGCGGACCTGTCGCGGACAAGCGGGTTGCGGCGCCCGGCCGGGCGGCGGCCGGGGTTTTCCACCCCGGACCCCGACCAGGGCGGACCCCACGCTGCCGCGGGCTGCCGCTCGCCGCGGAGGCCTGCTGCGCAGCGCTTTGCTTGATCTCCGTCGTCACGCGATGTCAAGCGCAAGGGCATCAATCCCACTGATCAGGCTCGCTTAGTGCCTGATCAGTGGGACTGGGACTGATCAGTGGGAGTGATGCGGACTGGACGAGTCCCACTCCCACTGATTTCGTTATCCCTCCCTCGGCGCGCCCCTCGGCATGCCCGGCCTCCGGCTCGAGCCGCGCTGGGACGCGCTGTACGGCGAGCTGCGTGCCAAAAACCACGGCGCGGAGGGCTCGTTCGGCCGCGCGGCGATGCGCTACTTCGAGCAGCTGAGCGCGGAGCTGCATGCGGAGATAGAGCTCCGCGACCCGCCGTCGTCGCGCGCGTCCGGGCGCGCGTGTCGGCGCAGACCGTGCGCCCCCCGCGTCGACTGCTCTGACCGGGGGTACCCACGGTGCTGGTCCTCCAGGTAGCGGCGTGGGACTTCGGGTCGGAGCGACGCACGCCGCGCAACTTCCGCCCGCGCCAATATGGGCGAAGAGCTGTTGGCCCTGGTTGCGTTGTAAAACAACTGTTCAGCGCTGACATGTACAGTTATAAGAGGTAAACTTGAGGTTTCAATACTTAGAGCTTCAGAAATTAGAATCTGATTCCCAGCTTGTAAAGTCGCATGTTAAAGGCACCCTGCTTCTTTGCTGGCTTACGCAAGAGCTGACCCATAGATAGTTGTAGTTTGGACAAAGTTTGGACCTTCTTATGCCGTAGACAAAGTACGGCGGCAAACTGAAGCCAATATCAGCTAATAATTGTGTGAATACGATTTGTGGCAAATAAATGCATTCAATAAGCCACAAGATATAAGGCCATATATTATATATATAATCAGGGCCATCACCAAATGGCAAAGTGTACTTAGTATATGACAAATAAGTGACAAATTGCCATGATCATGACAAATGACCTTATGTATGACAAATTGGGGTAATAATAATGCAACACTATTTTTTTTGACAAATATTGGGCTTGAATAACTTGAAGGTGCACTTATTGTCTACAAAACATATTGAGGAAGGGGGTAGTAACAATGGATGCTATATTTGATACCCCAATATAGAACTTGAATTCTTGTAAATCAGATACAATTTTTTGAAACTTTTATTGCATATCAATCACAGCAGTGAAAAAGAACATGGTTTGGACCTCTATTTCTTATGTATAAAGTGAATTCTACTTAAGGGACAATTCCTTTTGCTAAAACCCCAATACAATAATATTGATACCTAACATAAAATAATGTCTGTGATAAGAAGTAATTTCAGTCACACATTTATATTTCATTCTCAGTTTTACCTGTGGCTGTATCCCTTTACCAAATGGCCCAGTTGTATTCAGGGCAGGCAGATTGCACTAGTGACAGATACAACCAAGCTCTTAGGTAAAACCTGGTTTCAAGATTATATTGGGTGACTTCCCACAAGGAAAAAGAAATTTCCCATGTGGTGCCAACCTGTCATTTCTTGAGATAGAGATATGTGCTTCAAGAGGAGGGCTTCCTGTAAGAAAAATAATTTTCCGGTACAATTTAATGGATCATCAAGATCATCGATCATCTCCAAACAATATCAACATCCTCTCAGACTCTGTCCTATTATCATGGCCAAAGTATGATGTAAGTCATCGGAAGTATAGGGTTGTGGTATGTGTTATTGGACCATATTGATATGACACTGTGTGTGTGACTTGATTGTAATAGTCCCAAAATGGTCAATTTTTATGATGGGAGCAAGAAAAATGTTTATTTGGGGTCCTGACCCCCATGGATAAATCTACCACCTTTCAACATTTATTCTTGACCCTCCTGGGATCTTACTCTGATGGGGTCCTGATGGGACCATTGGTAACTAGTGATGACCAAGTCCGGTTCCTGGTTCTTGGCCCATTTTGGCCAGACACTGGACCGCCAGTTCAGTTCAAAAGCCGGATTTGGCGAACCTGAATGCTGAACTCTGGTTCGAACCGGTCCCGAACCATCCTTTTTTGCCCCCAAAAGGGCAAACCTGGCCGAACCCGAGCTTAGGTTCGCTTTGAACAGTGTTTTGGCTGAACGTGAACACTGAACCTCAGTTTGATCTGGTTAAGTTTGGGTTCAAACTGAAAAGCCGGACCAAACCTGGCCATCACTATTGGTAATTCGGCAAAGGGGTTTATATAACCTTTCTTTTCCCTTATGAAAGTCACCCATTATTCTATATGATATTATACTATGATATTCTTGGGAAATGTCAGGAGAACCCATCTTAATCATTGTCCACAGCCTCCTTCACCTACACAATCACTGATCTGTCAAGACCCTCCCAATGATCACCTTGGAACAAGGCCTGCAACACCACTCAGGCCTTCTGTGCTCTACGTTGGAAGTTATGGATGACAAGTATATATAGTTGGCACCCTAGTGGTGGACCCTTGGAGTTTCCTCTCTTTGAATCCTCCCCTGCTGGATTGGTCCCACTTTGTATTTCTATAGCTCTTATTCATGCTTTGGATTCTCCCCTGCTAAGTAGGACTCTCGTCAGAGCCTCTGGGGTTGCCCTTACAGGAAATTTGTCATGCTGATCACTCTCTCTATATATAATACTATATATAGGGAGTAGGACCAGCTACAGGGTTTTATTTTACATTGGCATGTAATCAAAACATCTTGACCCATACATAATATAATCAAGCAAGTTGTAGATATTATCTTGGTTTACAATATTTCATTTTGATAAAATTATATCTTAGGGTTGGAGTGTAGCCCCACCTATATTTAATGTCAATTACAAGGCTAATTAATCTACAAAGACCATTATGATAGTAAAAAAGTTGTTTGATATCAAACCTTCACCGCGAGGTGGTGTTACTATTCACATCACACCATGCCTCAACCAAAGACACCTCAACCAAAGTACAGCACATGCAGCTCCCTCTCTCCATCCACATCCGAGTACTGTCAAGGGTCAGCTTATCCGCAAACGAACACATTGACCACGTACCTTCTCCCCCAAAATACACGCATTGCTCATATGCACGCCCTCCCAGTCGACCGCCTCCCGCGATGTGATGTCCACATAGCCGAGCGCTGCCCCGAGAGGCTCCGCGAAAACGCCGTCTTCCTGGGCCACGCCAGCGCCGGGCGGCTGCACACGAATCGTCGCGTGGGGGGCCTCGACAACGTCCGACCGCGTGGCCGCGAGCTGCTTGCTGACGCGTGCCACGCCCGTCTCGTTGAAATCCAGGATCCGCACGTGCTTCGGGCCCGCCGGATCCGCCCCCGCGCCGAGCGCCGCAAACCGCGTGCCGACGCACCCCGTGACCGCATAGCCCGAGAGCCCCAGCCCGCGGGGCCCCGCGTCCAGCCACGTTGATGCGCGAGGACCCCAGTCCGCAAACGGCACCTCCACAAGCGGCGCGCCGTTCTCCAGGTGCCGATAGGCCTCCTGGAAGCACTCCTGAAGCCGCATGCGGTCGATGACGACGACGGTCTGCCCCGGCTCGGCGTCATATGCATCAGCGCTCTCCGTCGCCGCCGTAAAGGTGTCGAACATGAGGAAGATGGGTGACTCTCCCGGCTCGGGCCGGAACGGGGTGCGGGTCTGGGCGGGTGCGGGGCGGAGGTCAACGAGGTGGGTGCGTGGGTTGGGCTGGCCACGGCACTCGAGGGTGTGCCAGAGGATAAGGTGGCCGGCACGCATGGCCGGGAGGCCGAAGGAGAGCATCCAGCCGGCAGTATTGCCGTCCGGACCGGCGTTGAGGGCGAGCACGTCGAGACAGTGCGTGTGCGAGTTCGGAACGAGGAGGAGCGCGTCGTGGACGAACACAAATCCCGTCAGCGGGCACGGGATCGCATCCGCGAATGCGTGCCCGGATGGCCAGTGAATCAGGTGCAGCAGATCCTGGTCGTTCTCGCCTTCCATGAAGTAGCACGCGATGGCCAGCGTGGACCCCGCCACTTCCACCCTGATGTCTGGTAAGCCGTACCTTGTGGGCACTTCAGCCAAGTCAATCGGCTTCGCCGGTCCCTCCCACACTGCCCCAGTCGACAGTTGCCGCAAGTGTACGGCCATCGTGCACATTCTGTCATTGCCCTCCGAGCTAGTAGTATCTAGTTAGACAACTTGAAGCATAAATAAATGGACCTCGACGCACAAGGTAACCACCACCAAGAGATCCCACTCTGATACCACGCATATGTCCAACACTGGCTCCGTGATTCCCGCCGGCTGCAGCCACACCGGCTCTGTGTCGTTGACGCTGAGAAATGTATACTCCACGGTATCACCTAGCATCGTGCCCTGGTGGTCCCTTTCATACACCAGCGCATAACAGTCCTCGCCCACATCGTACCGCAACCACTCGCGCCGCGTCTTCGCCACCAGACGGTGGCGCGGTGCAAACATCCGCCACCGCTCCTCCCGCTCCCTCAGTGCCTTCCGCCGCCGGAAGAGCGGCCCCGCCTCGCCATACACGGTCTCCGTCACGGCATACGCGTTCTGCTCGATGCGGAACTGGATCGCCGGTGCCTCGAGGATTAGCCTGGTGAGCGCCAAGTTGGGCAGCCGCAAACATGCGACGATGTCCACGAGAGGCAGGTACGAGAAGCAAAGGAGAAGGAGCTCGCGGGGGAAGGTCGAGTAGTTGCAGTGGCATGGGTGAAAGGTGTCAAGAAAGAGAAATTACGTGTTACGTCACGACCTCGAAGGCCCTTTGATGGAAGCTATATAAAATAGAATAAAAGGTACTCTCATTCGAAATACGTGTGAGCATCAAATTTAAGTATTTATCATTTCTCCCCAAGCCGAATCTTAGTGCCTTGACGCCCGCTGCCGGCACTGGCACGCCGGCCAGGCAGATACCATATTGTCGTAGGTGTTGGGGACTCGGAATGGGATGCAGAACTGGCCTGCATTGCTGGCAGTATGTCCAGTGAAATGCCAGTATGGCTGAGCCGGGGCAGCGGCTGCGCCGGCCGTCGAGACAGCCCACGGTGGATTCGGATCACAAAGTCCCCCGGCACCGCCGGCGGCCCGATACCAGGCTCCGGGTCCGTCAACGCGTGGCTGGTAGACCGGGTAGAGATCGCCATAGCTTCCTTCCCACCATGGGCTGTCGTTGGTAGAGCGCGTGTACCCCCACGCTTGGTATGGTTGCATCGATATCGGCGCTGGATATCGATGGATATCGACGGGTGACAAGACCGCCACCGTGGACTCAACAGCATTGGGGTAATCCCCCTGACAAGGATGATCAAAGTCGACCATGTAGCTCCAGTCTTCAAGGCGGCCCGATCCACTAGTCCTCAGGCCGGGCAATAGGTGCCGGTCGGCGACCGCCGGGCTTGCCGATGCACCCTGCTGTAAGCGTTTTCGTCCCACCCGCCGGCGGGCCGACGCCAAGCCGCGGTTTGCGCTCGGTGTATTGCTCCTCGGACATCTGCTGCGGCCGGTGCCAAACGGTGGTGATGGCCGCAGGCCCCGATGACTTGCCGCTGCCACCGGCTCATAGACACATGTACGGCCAGTCTTGTGGCAGCGCAGACATGCCCTTGCCTGCGAGTCTGTCATACACTGGGAGCATATGGATGGTCAGTTCGCTTTCGATAGTTCCAAGGGAGGCTTACCTTGGTTTTGCTGCTGCGGCAGTGTGTGCATGCACGCAAGACACGGTCTGGGACCCGCAAAGTTTTGGCCTGATGAATGAAGTTGTTACTGGACAACTCGTAGCCAATCTGCACTATGAGATCTTTGGGGATATCGATCGGAGTGCTCCTCGAGTGCATGGGTAAGGCAAGTGGTAGACTACACTGGTAGTGCTGGAGACTCGGAGAGATAGGGAAGGACATGACCTGTGCATGCCCTTATATATGCACTACTAGTAGGCCGTGGTCAGAATTAAAAGTGGCTTCTCCCTCTCCTATGCATCTTTTGACCGGGAGCTTGTGCATCCCCCCCGGCCCCTGCACTTAATAAGGAAATTGCCCATTCTCGGAATGGTGATTGGGAGCTTGTACTGCCGCAGACTGACACAGACAAGCGGCGCCACTCAACATCAAAGATTTACCATTTGAGGTAAATGCCCATTCTAGGAATCTAATATGATAACAAGTTCCATCACTACGTGGAATGGTGATTGGGAGCTTGTACTGAAATGTCATGTGAATGTATGCACATGTTTGGCACTAGCCTTGGCAATTCATTTGCTCCACACTTCCATTCTGGGGGTCACTGCTGTTGAAACCCTGAATTGGTAACAAAAGCTGTAAAGTATGACCAATCCTAATTCAGATACAAAGCTGTATCTGATATGTTGCACCCAGTACTATGAACACATCATACTTAGGGTTATTTACCATGCTAACACCTCAGGCTAAATGTATGCTAAGTAAATATTATTGGTCAAATTGATAAATAAGTATAAGTACAGAAGAAAATAGGCATATTAGTAGATGGTAGACCAGGTATTGAAGAAGGGCATTTGGCACCTGTGTGCTATTCTCAGACTGTAGTGGCTGGGATTTATCTTGCCTAACAATTCACTTTATTTAAGTAGCATGCAAAGCTGGGGTGTACAGTGGAGGCAACAAATGAAGCAGCAGCCCAATTTGGTAGTGTAGATCAAAATGTTACTCTGTGTGACCCGGTTCTCTTCCACCCTCATCGGTTGTTTTTGTCAGTGACCCACAGATGGATCTGTTGGGTCACAACCTGTTTACTGCACAAGGCAATCAATAACCGCCACCCTCTTCAACAACCAGCGCCACAGGGCCCCATAAAAGCCGGCAGCATGCTGTCAGGGGAACCCCCCCTTTTGGCCCCTCGGAGACGCGTCCGATTCCGGTCCGACTCCGGTCCGACTCCGGTCCGACTCCGGTCCGACTCCGGTCCGGCCCTCCATCTCGCCCGCACAATCACCGATCCGTCAACGCCCTCCCGACGGTCGCCCTGGGACCTCACCTGCGACACCGCCCAAGCCTTCTGTGCCTGACAGCGGCAGCTACGGACAAGCAGTATATAGTCAGCTACCTAGCAGGTGGACCCTTAGAGTTTCTTCTCTTTGGATCCTCCCCTGCTAGGTCAGCTTCATTTGTATTCGCTTACTAATGTTCACGCTTTGGATTCTCCCCGTCTAGGACCTTGATCTCAGGCCTCCGGGGTTGCCCTTACAGCAGAAGGAACTCTCTACGGGATCAACCGGACAAGATTGCCAGGGTCGGCGCTGACTCAGGCTCGGAGTACGAGTCCGTTCCGCCCTCGTCACTGCCCATGCCACTTGTCCCCTCCTCCTCTACTCCTGTGGTCCCCGCACCCGTCATGCCGTCCGGAGTCACTCCTACCGCAGACGCCCGGCTGGACTCACTCGAGGCGAAAATGAATAGCCTAACTGAGGCCCTTGCTTTACTCGCCAACCAGGCTTCTGCTGCTGCTGCCGGCGCTAATAATGCTGGCGGACCCCAAACACCATCGCCGGAGACGTCGATTCCGACTCCGACTCTGGTCCAGGGCGACTCCGAAGCCCTTTTTTGGCGACATCAACCTCGCCTCAAAATTGGTAATCCCCCGTTCACCTTCAACGGCGATCGGAAACGGCGGCCGCGCGTTCCTTTACACGGTCCGCACCTACGCCCGCCTTGCCCGTGAGGCCTTCGTGGTCAACGGAGAGGCGAGCGAGGAAAAGGCTGTCCGCTATGCCATGTCGTTTATGGCAGAAGGACCCGCCCAGCAATGGGCGGAGCGCCACGGAAGCAAAGCCCCGTTTCCGTTTCCGTCCTGGGGCTTGTTCGTCTCTGAGTTTCGACTCCGGTTCGTCGAGGAGAACAAGCAAGACCACGCTCTCTCCAAACTGGAGACTTCCGCCTATCACATGGGTACAAAGGATGTCTACCAGTACACCGACGACTTCGAGGACCTGATGGACATCGCCGGATTCGAAGACGTGTTGGTCAAGGTGACCAAGTTCCGCCACGGACTTGACCCCTTGATCAACAACGGAATCACATCCTCGAAGGACCCCCCGGACCTCTGGGACTACCTTAGCTGGTGCAGGCCTTCAGTCAATATGAGGCCCTGGTCCGGGCCAAGCTGATCAAGTCAGCGGCTCCCAAGACGCCTGGCGGTTTGATTCGGACTCCGTTCCCGGTCAACCGTATCCCGGCTCCGGCCCCTTTCCGCCCGGTGGCTCCAGTCGTGCCACGCGTGGCCCGCGCCCCCGCTCCGGCGCCTCCAGCTCCTGTCCCTATGGAGTTGGATCGCACCAGGGCTCGGGGTGCCCCTCGTCGCACCTGCTTCAGGTGCGGCGACCCAAACCATCTTGCCGGGGATTGCCCCCTCCCTGCCGATGTCCGCTCACTGGACATCCTCAACGAGGTGATCCAACAACTCGGTGACAAGATGTTAGCGGAGTTGATCGCCCGCTACACCGACACAGCTGCCCTGCCGGAGACGGCAGCGGAGTGGATGGCCGGCGAGGATTTTGTCCCCCGCGACGAGTGACTGGTGTGCCCTCGTTCGCGTCTATAAATTGTTTTTTTGCCTCTTCGTATGATGAATGCAGTTCCTTGCCCTACAATGAGCCCGAAACAAAAGACACACCCTCTCCTGCTCCCGCCCCGACTCCGTCTCCGACTCCGCCCGTGACTCCGGTCATCCGCCTCACTGCCTGGGAAAAGAAACTACCCAAGCAGTATACCGTTGCCGCCTCCCCTGGGGTGAACTCCCTCCACCTCCCGTTGGAGCTAGAGTCCACCACCAGCGCGCTGAAGCTCTTGCTCTCTGGGCTTGTCGACTGTGGTGCCACCTCCGACTTCATTGATATGAACTATATCACTCGGAATGGCATTCCAGTCCGCACCCTCGATCAGCCGATTCCGGTTTTCAATGTTGATGGCACCCCCAATGATGCTGGCTCCATCAAACAGATCACGGACTTGGTCCTGCGCTACAAAGGCCATGCTGAGCGAGTTCAACTGGCCGTCACTCATCTTGGCAAGCAAGACCTTATCCTGGGGTACTCCTGGTTGCGGAAACATAACCCAGAGATCAATTGGGAAACCAAGGAGGTCAAGATGACACGGTGCCCCTGCAATTGCTCAACCTGCCGCGAGGAGTAGGGTTGAGCACGGGTCCGGGTCCGGGTCTTAGAAGGCCGACCCTGACCCTGACCCTGACTAACCCTGACCCTTCCGGGTACGGGTCCAACCCGGGTCCGGGTTGACCCACGGGTTGGAGACATGGAAGTAGAAGATGTATTTGGGACAATAATTTCAACATAAGATACATTTTGCTGTATGATATTGGCTCAGATATAGCATATGGGGCCTATTCCTTAATATTTCAAGCATATTTAATACAGTTCACTCATATGTCACATGTCACATGAGTGACATAAGTGACATATGATTTTTTTGTCTCTTAAAAACTCACAAAAATCAAGTTTAAATAGGGAATTGTTAAATCACAACGGCTCATTGGACCCTCCGGGTTGACCCTGAAAGGGTCCGGGTTTGGCCGGGTTTAGAAATTGCCATACCCTGACCCTGACCCTGACAGACCCTACCCTGAAACCCTGCGGGTCGACCCTGACCCGTGCTCTACCCTAGCGAGGAGGAGCGTGTCAAACGGACCGAGTTGCGGCGACTCCCGTCGCTCCAGAAACGTCTCCGCTCCGGCCCATTCCCTTTGGTTTGCACTATGGACCTCTCTGGCCCTGAAGACGGAGACGATTCCGATTCCGGTCTTGATTCTGACCTGCCTGATCTGACACCGGACTCAGACTTGGATGACGAAGATGACCAGCTAGAAGATGGTGACCACATCTTCTACACCTCGTTCCGTCCCTTGGAAGAGATACGCGCAGGCAGCACCGTCTTGCAGCGCTTGGCCGAAGCCTTTGCCAGGAACTCCGCCCCTCTGCCCCTCCGCCCTCCGAGATCCCGGACTGGGCTAAGGGAATTCCAGGACGTCTTCAACAAGGAGCCCTTCAATACGCTACCGGAGCGGAGAGCCTCGGACCACACCATTGAACTTGTCCCTGACGCTAAGCCCACCAACTGCAAGGTGTATCCCATCTCTCCCCTCGAGCAACGCGAGCTCGACGCCGTTCATCGAGGAAGGGCTGTCGACGGGTCAGATTTGCCCCTCCAAGTCTCCGATGGCGTCTCCGCTTCATCCAGGACTACCGTGCTCTCAACGTGATGACCGTCAAAAACCGGTACCCCCTTCCGCTGATCAACGACCTCATCAACCAGCTCAAAAGCGCTCATTACTTCACCAAACTCGATGTCCGTTGGGGCTCGGACTGGAGTCAGAACCGGAATCGGACCAGAGTTGGACACGTCTCCAAGGGGCCGAAAGGGGGGCTTCCCCTGACACATACACCGCCAGGGACACCTTGACAGCATTGCAAATACACGCTTGTTACCTCAGGCCTGTCTAGTGTATTCATCGCACTATGCAAACTCAACCTTATATATACATGATAAGGGACCCTAGTATATCAATGGAAGTACTGGAACCGGCAGACATATCCCAAATATATTATGCTGGCTATGAATAAATATCTGTGAATAAATATTGAATATATTCCAAATAATGTAGATATAATATGATATCAGTGTAGACCTCGAATATGATTTATGGGAACAATGGTGTTACCATGAGATGAGAAGCTTGCCAAATCAAAGTGGCTTGGTGAATATTTGAGCTTATGAAAAGAATAAATAATAGTTTATTACTTGAAATTATACCTTTTAGCTTCTTTTAGCTATGTTGATGTCATTTTGGATGTCAGATGTGATGGTTATGTCCCAAGGACTCAGAAGAAAACTAGAGGATTTTTCAAAATTTTAATGAAGGTAAGAAGGGGTGAAAAAATGGTGACCTTTATTGATTAAAAAAAAGGGTTAAAGAATTGTCAACTAGATAGAAAAGCAATTTAAACAGAAAACAATTCCCTGCTAGGCTTTCGTCGGAGTCTCCAGGGTTGCCCTTACATAAGTATGCAATTATGATATGAATACAATAGAATCGTAAGGATTTGGCCAGTACTAAAATTCATTAGCAAACAAGCAAATCTTGAAGCAAATGGTCACAAAATGTCAGACTGCGGGTCGGGCCGTGCAAGGTCTTCTCCTAAGAACACGTGCCCGGAACAGAACAGACAAGTCGTTGGGCCCGCAAGTAGGGCAAGCAGGGTAGATCGAAACCGAAAGGGCCCGTTAACTCGGTCCCTTGTCGCTGTCAGTGGTCAAAGGTTCGAATCGGGTCATAGCAGGCCCAATGAGTTGGTGATTTCTCCTTGCACGGAGACAAGTAGTTCTTCAGACGATCTAAGCGATAGACGTACATGGTACGCTATTGCGCGTTTATATATGCGGGCCCGCAAAGGGGTGATCAGACACCCTGGCCTCTCCTGCTCCTCCTCGCCCCTGTTCCTGGCCCAGAGGGGACGATTGTACATCCCTTGCGGGCCAGGCGCTACTCCTATCCTCCTAGCACTCCTCCCCAGTCCCCTGGTATCGAGTTGGGCTTGGCAACGGCTCGACATGTCGTTCTCGGTCACGTGCTTCCCACGTGTGCGTTCCTCCTACTGGGGCACATGTTCCCCGTTGTCACATGCTGTGTGTTGCAGGCCCGCGATGGCCCAACACCAGTGCCGGAGAGGACGGGCCGGATCTTATCCGTGACATAAAAGGACTTAAATTCTTGACTGCTAAATGACCATTATGCTACCCCATCTTCCACTCATATCTATTCTTGCCATTATTGAATAGCTCGTTCCATACTTACTCCCAGGCCTTGACGTAACAGCGCCGGTGTCATCGTTGTCATTGCGAGTGATCAATACAACAACGACGAACTGCCCATCAGAGGTGTCACACGAAACCACCTCTCGTCTGTCCCCCATCCCAATGGCGACCCTGTACACACTCCCCGCCGAGCTCCTCGTGCGTATCTGCGAGCTGGCCGACCGGCGGGACCTGTGGGCACTTGTGCGGACGTGCACGTGGCTGCGACGCGTGGGGCTGGGGCTGTACATGGCGCGCCTCGGCGTCTCGCGGGCGCACGCAGAGTCTGGCACCCTGACGCTGCCCGCGGCGCACCAGGCGCTGCTAATCGTGCTTGTCGGCCACATCCGGCCGCTCCAGAAGCTGGTCGCGTTCCGGTACCTGCGCTGGCCGGCCCCGACGGCGGTCGAATTCGAGAGTCTGGCGCTGGCGGCGGTGCTTGCGGCGGTGCCGTCCATCCCGGATGTGATGGTTTACAACCGACACAGCAACGCGAATGCTGCAAGAACGACGCGCGAAGCGGTTGAGCTGCTTGCGCGTATGCCGGCCGTTACCGAGAACCTGCTGCTTATCGTCCATGGACCATGGGGAGCACTGGGTGCTCTCCCGGCCCCGGAAAACACCACCCGTGGCGTGGTGGCTGCCGCGGTGGCCGGTGGTGTACCGCCCGCGCCAGATCTTACCTGCCCTACTCTGGGGCGTCCCGCTTCTGGCCGTGGTCCTCGCGAAGAACATTTTGATTGTACTGCTATGGGTGTGGGACGCCCTCGTCGGCCCGCCGTGGCCGTTCGAGGCGCGCCTGGCGCACGCTTACGGGCCGGTTGAGTTTACCTACTGGATGCGCGTGCAGACGCTTCCAGCACGGCTTACACTCGTCACGCTCGTCGACAAAGAGAAGCCGGTGCTCACGATCCGCCCGGCGCTGAAGGGCCTCTCAGCCTCGCAGCTCTTCGCTGTCATGTACGCGCTTGACATTGCCCTGCACCGCCACATGCAGACGGTGGTCGTCGCGCCAAATGCTAAGGTGAACTACGGCGACCTGGACTGGCTGGTGCGCCGCCACGCCGGGCGCGAGGCTATCACGCTCGGCCCGGGCAGCATCCGCGCGGCGTCCCTCCCGAGGGCGCCGACTCAGAACCCTGCGCACAGGGCAGGTGCCGCCATCCTCAATTCGCCGGCGGCGTACGTCCCGTACTTCCTTGTGCCATACGCGCGCGAGATTGCGCTAGCAGCGCCAAATGGCAGATTCAACGCAGCGGAGCACGACGCCGCGCTGAACGCCATCGCCGCGCTCCCCGGTGCGCAGCCTATCCATCTCTCTCTTGCCCTCCGGCCCGGGAAGACCGTTGCCGGACTGCCGTGGACGCGGCTCACCACAGCGGACGCGGAGGCCGGCGCGGCGTATCCCCGGCCGACGCGCGTGGCGGCGCTAACGCTGCGCGCGGTCGGCGGCCCGTTCCGCGCGGTGCACCTCCTGGACGACACGAACGCGTTCACGCGCTGGCTCACGCTGTTCCCCGGCCTGCGCCTGCTAGTATTCGCGCCCGGCGCCGTGGAACTGCCGGCGCAAAAGAGGGCCGCGCTGGAGCAGAAGATACGGGCCGCGTGCGGCGACGCAACGGCGATTATGTGGAAGGCCTAGCAGGCTGTAAGTATTGTGTTCCAAGCCAATGCCAGTGAATCCCTAGGACTCCCAACTTATGTAGTAGTTTGATCTGAGACTTGCCGTCAGACCTCCACTAAATTCACCAAAGTGTGACATGTAACATAGAGTCTACAACAAATGTCATTTAATAAACTTAGTGTCAAGATAGTTATGTAACGTTGAGAGAGAGAGAAATTCCAGATTTTCAATTGTATGTTCCATTTTCAATTGTGATGCGCATCATAGTAGTGGTTTTAGTTTGGGGACTATATATAAATATTCCGATTATCAAAATCACCATTGACAATTGAAGACCCACTCTGATAACTGATTTGGCAAGCTTCCCCTCTCATGGGAACACTATTGTTCCATTACACTTTATGCCAAGGAGTGGCAAAAAACATGTTTTTTTCTTTTCTATTTGTGTGTCATTCCTGTGTCAATTTTTTTCAAGTGAAGCCTGCCATAATGGTTGTTTACTTGCTCACAGGACAACGACTCCAAGTCTCAACCTCTAGGTTTTGAGCAGTTAAGTCCTTCAGAGCATGCTAAAGAAGCTTGAGGGCTTGGGCTTGAGCGGGGGGTGGAGGAGTGGTGAATGGACACAACTATTTCCATCAGATCTACGCTCTAAATTTTGCTAAATTTCAGACTGCGAATGTCAGATAATGACGCGACGGACAATCTTATCAAGTGATCTTATCGACGATACATTCCGATCTTACTACGACTGGAACCTGGACGATGAGAGGAGCTCCTAACTGCTCTCTCGTCGTACCAGGTATGACCCCTTATTCACTACTCATGTACACTTATCTAACTGCTCTCTCGTCGTACCAGTAACTCAATATACACCATTGTTGATAGGTTATGGGCCCCGTATGTCGGAGTGAATTCGAAAAAGTGGGCGCTCGGCGCGTGTCGAAGCTCTAGAGGGGAATTTCAGTCGCTTGATGTTGGCTAAGGAACACACTCTGCAGTTCTTGAGTTTCACAGAGTCTACGGCTTCGGGCAAGCCGCGGGTGGCGGCGCTGGAGGCCTTTAACGTCTAAGTGCCCCATTAGACGATGCCAAAAACCTCCCGCTTCGATGCCTCATCGGTGTTGGATCCAAGGACCGCCACGGTGTTGGGGGTTGTTGTGTTGATGAGATCTGCACTGAAATCAGCTTCCGCGGAAATATTTGTCGGGTTGTTGAGATTGTGGGTCAAATTTGCCTCCGGATTTTCGTTCTTGATGATCTTGACTCCCATCTTGTACAACCCTCCAACTATCTCGCCTGACGCAAACGGAAACCCTTCAGCGTTGTAATAGTCAATGCGGCCTCCCCCCGTTTTGGTTTGGACGCCCTTCAAGTCCAGTTGGGTGCCAGAGATGAGGTTGCAACGGGCAGTAGGAATATGTAGAGCGTTGGTGAGAGCAAAGTTGATGCCTGTTGGGTGAGTTTCAAGGAATACCTTGCCTTTCCCTAATGCGTGCGTAGAGAGGTTAGCGCCAAACCCATGCACGTTTACGGGTTGGCGAAATTGCTTGTATTCTTGGAACGAGGCAATGTCATTGAAGACATGGCGGGAAGCGCCTGTATCGTGATAAATGCTGTCGGTGCGTGGTGGTTCGCCATTGGGCGTTATGTTGACCGCATTCACCCAGATATCTCCTTCCTCGTCTTCATCGTTGATGTCCATTTGGCCAGTCATGAAGACAAAGCTGGCGCTTATGGTCTCATTCCCCACGGCCTCCAAAATCTCATCCTCGCTGTCTTCTGTGAACTCCATCATGCCAACGAAGCGATCTCCTCCTCCTCTATTCCTTCCATTGCTATGGTTCTGGCGCGCTTGTCGTCTCGACGCAGCAACTCTCTCAGCAGGTGGGAGGTGAATATTTCGCAATCCATGATAGTTGTCGGGGTATTGACCCTCTTTTCCCCCTTTGTAAGCGAAGCAATCGGCCTGGCAGTGGCCTATCGGCGTGGCACACTCCATATTTTCGCAGAACAGACGTTGGCGATCGCGATGTGGCGCATCGTTTGGTGGAGCGTTGGCATTACGGCGGTCGTACGATACAGGGCGTCGGTCATTTCGTTGGTATGCTCTTTGTTGGGATCTTCGCGGCTGTGCTAATGAAGCTGTAGCGACTGCGCTAGAGTCGCTGTCTGTAGTCACAGACGTTGAAGAACCAGTGCTCGAAGCTTTAAACGCCTCCTCGTTTTGCAATCTAGCCGACACTTCCGCAGAACTCAGAGGCTTTCCCGCCTTCTCCGCCACAGTCATTTCCTGGAGAAGCGAGTCTCGACAGTATCGCCATTTATCGGTTTGCGCCATATTCGTAATCAGGCACTTTGCGAATTCGTGGTCCGGCATCATGTCGGGATCTGCTCGACAGAGTTTCTGGAACTGCTCGAGCATTGTTACCCTCCATACCACTGGATCTCCTGCTCCGCAAAACAGCGAAGATATTTGTCGTTTGAGTGTAACGGCTGTCAGGGTATTTTTTCGGTTCGTACGCTTCCTTCAGTGCCATCCAAGCTTGACGTGCTGTTTCGCAGTCGTTGATCACATACAACTTGGCCATCGGCACAGCGTCAGTAATTGTCGACAAGGCCTTCTTGTCTTGTATCAGCCAGGCCTCCGCAGTCTTCTTCGCAACATTAACAGCTACTTCGTTGCCTTGCGTAGTGATTGTGGTCACGTTGCCGGCCTGGTCTACCCCGGTGTGAACTTGGCTCTCGACGAGTGTTGGAATGACTGGTGGTTTATAGTTTGGACCGTCGATGTACTGCCAGTACCCAGCAGCATCGAGTTTCCTCATCGCTTTGGCTCGAAACTCAGCATAATTGTTACTACCGTCTGCGCCTTCGACGATAGGGGTGAGTTTCAATGCTCGCCATTCCTTGTCGTTGTCGCCTGAGCTCATTTCGAACAGAAATTCGTAGGATACGCACGAGACTCGAAAGGCTATCTCATATGGTTCCCGGCAGCAAGAATCATTCGACCGCGACGAGATATCGAATTTCACGGTTTCCCAGAAATCAGCCTTTCACCTCCCCACTCCGAAAATCTCTGGGAAGACGTGCCCTCTGAATTAGAGGAGCATTTCAAAGACAAGAACATCGTCACATCGAGACCGCCGATAACCAGTTCTGCGCCTATCTCTGAGCAATCCGCTGCCATCGAGCAACCCACTGCCATCGAGCAATCTACTGCCACTGAGCATAACCGAGCCTCTGAGCTTAACAAGTGTGTATTGTCGTTAACGACTACACAACTTACTTACCTGTTTAACCAGGCTTCCTTCCAAATCGGAAGAGACACAAAAGGAAACAAATCGCAGTGCGACTCCAGAGTGTGTTTTATCACGCATGGAGATCTATTAACGTCTTCTAGACGAAGTAATGGAGGATATATTATCCAAGCCGAGAGCTACTCCGTGCGTTGACACACTGGGATTCCTGTGGAATACCCTAATCACCTACCAGATTATTTGACGAAGACATCCCCATGCCGAACGCGGACGAGATTGATGACACACCATTGGCGCAACGAAAGACTCCGTGCGTTCGATGTATTCCAGCTCGCCATATTATTAACCACGCGACATTGGACGAGGGCGGGAAGGACTTTGTCATATCCGAAGACTACCTTCTCTCCATCCTTCTGTCGGGCGACGAGCTCGAAATCGAATGCGAACTCGAAGAACTAGTCGATATTGCTCAAGCTTTAGAGCAAGCGGAGTCTGTGTACTCAACGCTCACCGAACCCATCGACGATCCCGATGCAAAAGATCCCAATTCCATTCCAGAAGCCAGGGCCTCGACTTACTGGCCACAATGGCTCATCGCCATCTTCGAAGAACTTGAGTCGCTAAGAGCAAAAGGCGTCTATGTCGAAGTTGAAGAAATACCGCCAGGACGAAAGGCCGTGGCCTGCAAATGGGTCCTCCACATCAAACGAGATAGAGATGGTCGAATCTCGAGATTCAAAGCTCGATTAGTCGCAAAAGGATTTACTCAAATACCAGGTCAAGATTACACGTACACGTTTGCCCCAGTTGCACGATGGGAGTCCATTCGCTTTGTCCTTACCCTTGCCGCCACACACGATATGATCTTGCGACAAGTCGATGTGAAGACTGCATTTCTCAACGGACCGCTTGACGAGGAGATATATATGCGAAAGCCGGAGATAGCAGGTCCCGGTTATTGGCGATTGCTGAAACGAGTCGAGTCGGTGATAAGCCGCAGTCTGGGACAGACCAGGAAACGACTATTTTTGTCGATTTTGTTGCTCAGCGCACGTCTCAGAGTTGACATGAGTCCCGAATGGTCAACTAGGGAATTACCTGCACAAGAACCAGTCAAACTCCAGTCAAAATCTATCAAATCGCTCTCAGTGATTCCAAAGTCTTGACTAGGAAAAGTTCGCAGAGCCCGTTCTACGCTAGAATCTATCCAATTCTACGCAAAATACCCAAAGGGAGTGTATTCCAAAAGGCATATTCGGTTTGGCGCTCGGTGGAGACTCGAGATCGACTTCTCCTAGATAAGGGACACCCCTATCTCTGTTGGTATCGACGACTGACATCATTGGAACGTGGTTTCGGATCATGCTGGAGGGTCGAGAGTGCCAAGGGACGGTTAAACGGCGAAAACCTACTCAATTGACTGGGGCCTGGACCTGTGATCAACGGCGACTCTAAAACACTGTCGAGGAACAGATCATCTGAACATTGGAAATGCGCCAGGAGAGTTGGGACAACCACCGATGAGGCCATATGCACAAGATACGAGTTATGGGTGTCAATCGAAAGCTGGGAAGCAGAGCTATCCACTTATCCTACTCAAGATCGAGGGATTCTTCACAAGCAAAACTAGATGGTCGCGAACACGGAAGATTTACACAGGTCATTGACTCCAATACACGCGATACCAGTCATCTGGACCTGGATTTTCGACTCTGGGCCGTATGGCGAAACGATACCTATACAATTATGCACATGGAC